GCAATAGACACCTGCAATAGGTTTCTTCTGTCTCTCGTCTGCAACACTTGTAGCCAAATCACAATTCAAATGATAGTCCATTGTAACAATCCAACAGTCAATGTAGAAACAACAAAATGGGGTCACAAATCCAACCTGCACTTCTTACCAGCAAAAATGCATGTTCATCCAACAAGCTCAGAAAAAATCCTACACTTGTAAGCGAAAAACAATGGCTTTTATTCACCGTGCGATTTTTCTGATTGGCCATGCTATTCAGGGGAGGAAAGAACATTAGCATAGATTCTGATACTTAAAGTAGCTGATTTTTGCTAACTACTTTCGGTAATTTTTTTTTTGGCAGATCGCACACAAAACACAAACTCTTTTTCAAGGTAGGTGATTATCTTTTTCACTACAGGAATCCTCTTCTCTGATAATCAAAACAAGTTATTTGAATTGTCTCACTATTTTAAGTTCTTCCTTTTAACTTGCTTGAAAGCACTTTCTCATTGTTTCATCATTAATTTCCATGAAAATAGAGAAGAGCTAAGTGCATATTATACATTCAGTCATCATCATTAGTCCCATGACTGGGTGTGGTTGTAGGGCTACTGAGCACGTCACCAGCTCTCTCCATATGTATTGGTTGAATATCAATGTCTGAAACACTGAATGATCTCCCAGTTCACTCAATGATGTTATCAGCCCATTTTCTCCCTCTATCTTCTTCTTCTTTTGCTTAAATTGGTTCCTTGTAGGATGGCAGTAAAAAGATTATTAGCTCATATGACGTTTCTGTTGTAACCTAGAAAAGGTTACAGAATGAGGAATAACCAAAATGGAGATTGGAAATGAAATGGTAATCTTTATAACATCAACAAAATACAATACTCGCCAGCAGCGTGAAGTAGGTAAACCACTGCTAGTGGTAGACTACATAGCCAGCATATTACCCCCACTTACAATAGTGTCCAACATATTTATGAGGATTGGGACATACCCGTTAGTGTTCATATGTATGGTATATAACAGTTTACATACCATTTTAACTTCCTCTTGATGGTGGATATGAAGTCTTCTAATGGGTTTGTTTCTTGTTCGATGACGTTTCACACTTTATCATTTATGATACAGTCTTTGTAGGAGATACCTAGGATGGTTCTGTAGCATCTCATTTATAATGCCTGGATTCTTTGTTGTCATTTTGCTATTAATATCAAAGATTTGCAAGCATACAGAAATATTTAGAAGATTCACACATACAACAGTCTGAATTTGATTTCAGACAGTTGTTCTTGTATTTCCAGGTGATTTTTAATTTTGTGTCAGCTGCCACTGTTTTTGTTACTCTTGAAACTATTTCTCTTCTGGAATCATCTTCTCTGATAATCAAATCAAGATATTTGAATTATCTCACTATTTCCTGACTACTGACTTTTATATTGGTAGAGGTGTATAAATTATATTAACATCACTAATTTGATATTAGTTATAAATCACTTATTGGCCATTTTCAGTTGAAAGCAAGAAGCAAATGTTTTAGTTCTTGGACAAGGTGAGCATCTTCCTAATCTGCAATTCCACATTGCAATTCAGCAATTCCTGACATCATCTGTTCCCAACTTGGTATTTATGCTAATGACACAACTATTTACTCCTGTCTTAATAGTAAGTCCAATAGGCCCAACAATATAAAACTGGCAGCTGCTCTCAAAAATGATCTCCAATCAGTTGTTAAATGGGACAAGAAATGACTTGTAAATTTTAACACATACAAAATGAAAGGGCTATTCTTTAATCATCATACCATCATCAACCATTTTTGCCTTCCATCAGTATGGCTGCTGCTAACCTCCAGGAGAGTAACTCCTTGTGCTTTCTTGGTCTTGTGTTTTCTTCTGACATGAAGCAATTACCATATTTTCCACCTTACAAGATGTACTTTTTTACCTAAAAAAAATATGTGTGTCATCCAAGACAAATTTAAAGCCACACCCAGGCTCAAGTAAGCTTGGATGCTCAACTAATTGACTTGACTGATAGGGACGTTGGATTTGTAAGTTGAGTCATTACACTATAATGTTAGCTGTATAATTCAACCTTTTATATGATGTAACCTCAGTACTTAGCTGTTACAAGTATTTTCAAAACTATAAACCTTCCTGGAGCTGAGCCACAAGCTTAAACATGCTCTGTTTACTAGCAATGGCAGGAGCCTTTCTGCTCTTGACTAGTATGTCATTGCCATACAAACAAAATTGGACAAGTGATTAATGTAAACAGTATGTGGCACCAGTATGTGAGGGATGCATGGTGAATGTGCTGTTGTATGAGAATGACTTTTTTTCTTAGAAATTTCTTTCTAATATTAGGATGCGTCTTCAAAACTGCAGTGTCTTGTAAGCTGAAAAAATACAGTATATTGAATCATTTGATAGGTCAGCAACTAAGAAAGTTAATTCATTGTGCCATGCCAGAATAGTTTTTCTTGTCAGAATCCAGCTTGCACATTTATAAATCTACCATTCTTCTGTGCATTGAATACTGCTGCAATATCTGGTCTAGTGCTTTGTTTATACATCTTGAAATTCTCAAAATCCAAAGTTCTGTAATATAATTGCTGGCATCTCAACTTCAGTCACTTTCCCACTGCTGTGATGCGGCTTCCCTCTGTCTTTTTTATAAATATTTAAATATTTTCTTGGTAGTTGTTCTAATGAGCTCCCCTCCTTAGAACTTGGACTGCATGTGTTTAAGCATATTGGCAACTAGATCTCATCATTTTACTGTTGAAATACCTAAATGTAACTGTAAGTTGCCTTCTAATAGTTTCTTTAAGTTAAGCAATATTGAGCATGGTCAGTACCTTGATGGGTGTCTGCTTGGGAATACTAAGTAATAAATGTAACTGTAAGTTGTCTTCTAATAGTGTCTTTAAGTTAAGTTAAGCAATATGGAGTGTGGTTAGTACCTTGATGAGTGCCTGCTTGAGAATACTAAGTAATAAGGTGTCTTCTAATAGTTTCTTTTCTTGCATTTCTTACCATTGGAACTCTCTCTCTTGATCTCTTGATTCCCTGTCACCAAAACAAAAATTTGAATGCAACATTAATCACCATCTTCTGTCTTCCTGAATCCTATTCTTTTATTTTCCTTTCTTCTCAATTAAGTCTTCTCATTTCCTTTCATTTCTAGTAATTCCTTGAGCATTTGTGGCATTATCACCTTGCTTGGGATAAAATGATTAAAAAAGAAGGATCAGGACCAGCTCCTTATGCATACAGCATTCCAAAGAAAGGTCTAAAAGGAAGTGGACAATTTTCATGCCAAGCTACACATTGGTTTTCACTTCAAACCGACCTTGTGCTGAATCTGTCCTTGCAGAGAAGTGGATAAATATCTACTTAAAACTCATAAGTTTCTACTAAATAACAACATACAGTATTAAAAAAAAAGGTGAAATCACACTGACTCATTCAAACTAAACAAGAAGCTTAAAAAAGCTTTTAGTTCAGCTGCAATTAGAAATGAAGCTGAGATTTGTTGACAATCACTATTATTATTCCTTTTGATCAGTTAAAACCTGTGTTCAGGGACTTTCTAGAACTTTTATTTCACAACTCATAATTACATTGACATGCAAAACAAATGGTCCACCCAAATTGATTTATTTAAATTTTTCTAAGAAACTGTAACTGTTTTATAATATATATAGTCTAAACAAATGTTTGTAGCATTTTAAAGAAAATTTCAAAGACAATTTAAATTTTTTATGTAGATTTATTCAACCACATAAAAATCATTTTGTTCCACTAACTTTTGCCATTTTTGAAGCAGCTTCATATTATAACAAGCATTTGGTTGTGAAAGGAAAAGAATAACAAGGATTAGATTTTCAAACAGCATATATTCATTTAATATATGTGATACATTTACAGTTGTTAGAAAATCGGCAAAAATTGTTGATATGTCATTCTCAGTTGCTGTTTGTCAAGAAAGTAATTAGGTGTAATGCTGTTGTTGGCAATGCTGGGAGTTTAATGATTTCTTGGATTGGTTTGGCTGAGATCACAGGATAGATCCAGAGTGGATTTAGCCATTGGTTGGGTTTGACACATGTGTTGGTCAGTCGTCTGTGATTGTGTTGATGGTCATGTGGTGCTGTGTTAATCAATTGGGGTCATCATGGTGGAATAATTTGTGGTAGGGTACATCAGTTGCCGAGATGATAGTGATGGTGACAAGGGATTGGGTCTATCTAGTAGAACAGTAGCTGACTGAGTGTAATGTTACAGCTGGATTCAGATTGACTCAATATTGATTAACTTAAAGAAACTATTAGAAGACAACTTACAGTTACATTTATTACTTAGTATTCCCAAGCAGACACACATCAAGGTACTGACCATGCACAATATTGCTTAACTTAAAGAAGCTATTGGAAAAAAACTTACATTTATTACTTAGTATTCCCAAGTGGGTACACATCAAGGTGCTGACCACACTTCATATTGCTTAACTTAACTTAAAGAAACTATTAGAAGACAACTTACAGTTACATTTATTACTTAGTATTCCCAAGCAGACACACATCAAGGTACTGACCATGCACAATATTGCTTAACTTAAAGAAGCTATTGGAAAAAAACATTTATTAATTCCCAAAACTTACATTTATTAACTTAAAGAAACTATTAGAAGATTCCCCAAGTGGGTACACATCAAGGTGCTGACCAACTTAAAGAAGCTATTGGAAAAACTTACATATTGCTTAACTTAACTTTAAAAAGAAACTATTAGAAGACAACTTACAGTTACATTTATTACTTAGTATTCCCAAGCGGACACACATCAAGGTACTGACCATGCACAATATTGCATAACTTAAAGAAGCTATTGGAAAAAAACTTACATTTATTACTTAGTATTCCCAAGTGGGTACACATCAAGGTGCTGACCACACTTCATATTGCTTAACATAACTTAAAGAAACTATTAGAAGACAACTTACATTTATTACTTAGTATTCCCAAGCAGGCACCCATCAAGGTACTAACCACGCTCAATATTGCTTAACTTCAGTGATTATACAGGAACCAGTATTTCAACAGGATGTGGCTGTAAGCCACTGTGTTCATTCAAATTCAGGTAATATTTTCAATTAACTCTTATAACTCTACATAGATATATTAAATCCATTTACCTGCTTCCTTTTTACATACATATCAATGCATAGCTACTAACTTGTCTAAGTACAATCACCAAAGTTAAGTAATATTGAGCCTGGTCAATACATAGATGGGTAACTGCTTAAGAATATCAGGTGCTGTAAGCTTAGATGTGTAGATGCTGTAATGGGTAATGGCTCAGAATTGTTCCAGTTCCAATTGGGTTCATTATATTCACTTATGCACAAATATTCTTGGGAAAGGTATGAATGCACTTATTCTCTCCCAGCTATGGGTTAATTAATAAGCCTTATATCACTAAATCATTATTATCTCCTCCCCCCACCAAATTTTTATAATCTAAAATAAGCTGTGCATCCTGAGTAAGACGTTAAACTACATCCGCATCCTGGGTAAGATGTTAAACTACGTCCAGCAGCAAGGCCTCTGATCAGGAGGTTTTGAGGAGCATGGAACCACCTCTTAATTGCTGGTGTTCCCAGGTCCACCCTAACCCAGGGTGGTAGCACCTTTTAGGGTCCCAGCTATGGGCAAATAGTTAACTATTACCAGCAATACTTTTTTGAAATTATCACCAGCAATACAATTTTGAAGGAAATATATTACCAGAAATTTTTGACAAAACAAAATATTACCAGCAATAAAAATTTTTGTCAACATTAAATAACCTATTGAGGTTGATATGCTGTAAAACAAAATAAACCAAACCAATCTAAAGCAAAGAATACATACTCTATTCATATGAATCTATCCTAAAAATGTTGTTGGCATTAATTAACCCATTGAGCTTGGTATGCCGTTAAACAAAATAAACCAAACCAATCTAAAGCAAAGAATACATATTCTATTCATACGAATCTATCCCAAAAATGTTGTCAGCATTAAATAACCCATTGAGGTTGATATGCCGTAAAACAAAATAAACCAAACCAATCTAAACCCAAGAATATATATTCTATTCATACGAATCTATCCTAAAAATGTTGTCAACATTAAATAACCCATTGAGGTTGATATACCGTTAAACAAAACAAACCAAACCAAACAAGCTGCAAAGGTTTAATGAGCCATGGAAGATGAATCAATCAAATGGTGATTAGCTACACAGGTATGTATTTAGATTTATTTACATCCTCTGTTCCAGAGAACATAAATAAATCTAATAGAAATGTATAAATCTTCCATGGCTAGAAAATGATGGATCAGTTTATATATTGATCGTAATATAGAATTGGTAACCCACTTCATATCCACATTATATATTTTTTGGTTTATCAAATTCTAATTAGCTATTCAATTCAGCTCTTCTCCCCCAGCTACAGGTTAATTAGTAAAGCTTGTCTCACTAAACTATTATTATCTCAAAAAAAATATTCTTACAATCTAAAACTATTTTCTGACTTTCAATAACCTGCAATGTGTTGATAAGCTGTAGAAACAAATCAATAAACAATCAAATACTGATTAGCTACACAGGCATGTCTTTTATCTTTATTTACATTCTCTGGAATATAAATGTATAAAAACTACAGATTGAGGGATCAGTTTATATATATTGATCATAATATAGAATTGGTAACCCACTTCATATCCACATTATATATTTCTTCTTTGATTATCAAATTCTGATTAGATATGAATCCAGCTCTTCTCCCCCAGCTATAGGTTAATTAGTAATTGTTATATCGTACCTATGGACTATAATGGGTATATCCCAATCCTCATAAATACAGTGGAATATAATGTCCGGAGAAGTGTTTCTCAACAAGGGTTCTCCAGAAACTATAGTTTCCACGAGAACAGGTGAGATAAGCTAATGCACTTTTGACTTTTTATTTAATTTCATATATGTGATATTACTAAATACACACAATATATTCTTCGTTATTATAATATTGTAATATAGACATCATCCTATCTAACCTATTATGTTATTAAGAATATATTAATATTAATGTACTATTTATAGTAAAGAATAAAAAAATAAAAACTGATACAGCAATTATCTGTTTTCGTTCTATTTGCATTTATATTATAGGTAGATGATATTGGTTACTTATGTTTATTTTTTTATGCTTGAGTTTAAAATTTTTTTGTGTGAATGAAAACTCCCTGATGAAGTATTATAAACGAACAGTATGAATTTTATTTAGCTTTACTGAAAAATTTTTATTCATTTTTCCTTAAACCAGTTATTCAAAAATATATACTATGATATTTACCAGGTGAACTATAATGCAAATAAAATGAGAAAGATATGGTATATAATTTTGTTTTTGCACAGGGGTTCCTCGAGACATGTAATTTATTTTAAGGGTTACACAAGGGTAAAAAGGTTTAGAAACACTGGTTTGAAGGGATTCACTACTAGTTCAACACTAATAATGGATTACTTACTACATACCATGGGCAAATCTTGTATGTTCTTAATGCTATAAAGATTACCATTCCATTTCCAACCTTCATTTTTGGTATTCTTATTCGGTAACCTTTTCTGGGTTACAACAGTAATGCTTGTATCCTTAAACCATTATTATCTCAAAAAAATTACTTACTACATCCACCATAATACCTCATTGTCTCTATGGAAGTCCTAACTAAACCCCATATGTACAACTCATTGTCCATAGAGGAAAGTTCATCAGAACAATTCCCATTAAAATATTTACAGAAAAGGCACAAAGAAGCTATGTTACAGTGGTGTGAAAGTAACTGAAGCTGAGATCCCAGATCAGGACCAATAAAATTTCAGATTTTTCTTTGTATTTTATCTAGAATCTGTAAATATATAGCAGAAGTACCAGACCAGATGTAACAGCAATATTCAATGCATGAATGAATGGGAAACTTACAAAGATCTTAGAATTAAAATTACAATTTTAGAAATATTCACACAATAACTAATTGACATAATTCTCTTTATTTTAATTCTGTTCAGGATTGGCTGAGAAGAGAAGAGGCATGTTAATTCCTGTCTGAAATACAAAATGTTTCCTTTTTTTTTTTTTTTTTTTAATTTTCAGTTACACAACTAAAGTAAATCTGACATTTTATACTGCTTTTTGCAATGATGAGATTCCAGTTTCTCACAACAGTTTGTGTGAACCTTTTAATAAAATTATTATATTAAAGCTGATGTAACTTGTTTATTTACTTGTTGTTTGTTTATAACCATTGACAAAAATTTAGGAAATTAAAAAAAAAAATGAGAGTGCGGGTTCCTTATTTCATAAACAAAAAACAAAAAAAAAGAAAAGAGAAAGCAATTTACTAAGATGAAAATATATAGAAAGTTCTTTAACCCATTACCTGCCATGAGACCCATTTGGGGATATGTTAAAATTAAACTCACTACATGTTATTCCTTGTATTTACATTGAATTGCTTACATACATTGCATTTGCAGAGGTATATTTTACAACACTTAGCCTTTAAAGTTTTTATTATTAGCCATAACTAATCATAGAAGACACTTTCTATTGTAATTTTACATTTCATGAGTAGAAAAATAATGACTATTTGGAAAAGTATTTTTTTATTATTTCTAATCAGTATTATTTTTTGATGTTTTATATACATATATATTTGATGTTCTAGTTTCTATAAAGTTTCACAGTACCAGCTATTCGAAGAAAATTTTAATATTGTATGTTGTTCTTAACTCTTAAGACACCTGTTTGGGCCAAAAATGCGCATTAAAAAAATTTGTCAGTTAATGGGTTAATAGCTAGATAGTCCAACCCTTACCTCACAGTCAGTGCGGGGGTGTAAACAGTAGTGTCAGAGCTATGCCGTCCGGAACTTCGTTCCTGGTAGGGCCACCCAAGGCGGACAGGTCTGACACACACGCATTATAACAAGGGCTCTGGTGAAAATCCAAGGAGCGTCTGCATCGGCAACCGGCGGCTTCTGGTCGTTCCTGTCTCTGCGTCTGTGGGAACCCCGCGGCAAGCAAGAACGTTATCCGAGTAGGCCTGGGTACCCTACTTCTGTAATTTATCCCAAGAATCTTCTTCTCATAACAGGAAGAAGCCGGCTCAATCTGCCCAGGGTGAATGCCGCATCACACACACACACACTAGATGATCTACAGATTATTTATGTCCAGGTTTTTACAACATTTTACCTTTCTTGATAGATTTTCTATTATCACAATGGGGGATATTTAATAACAAAAGTGATAAAAAGAAAAAGAAACTAAATGATGTAATCGGCTATATAAAGTTTCAGCATCACCCTCTCCTTTGTACACATGCGTAGTTGCATCAGCGTAAACATCACTTTTAGTCTTACAAAGTCCAAAAGGAAGAAACACAATGCAGGAAAACCTTTTCTACTTTGTCATAGATTTTTCCTAAAATAAAAAAAACTAAATTGGAATGTAAACAGAGAGAGAACCCATTACTAAAATCTTGCCTTTATACTGAACTCATGATCTTCTATTTCTTTGACTGATTTTATTACAGTATATCAACTCTGTGGATTCTTCAAAGTAAAAAAAAAACACTTTTTGGATTACAAGAATAATACTTTATTTTGTGAGTGAACATTGCATTAACAGTTTTTGGGGAAATAACAATAATTTCTCAAGATACAAGTCCCACTATTTAATCCATAGCTGTGGAGGAGGAGGTGGATTCATAACTTTCCCAAAGGGTATTTGCACATAAGTGACTGTAACAAACCTGATTGGAATTTGAACTCAGCTTTCTGCTTCTATAGGTATCGGCAATCTTTAAACAAATTTTTTTTTTTGTCCAAAGTAGCATGTGATTTTAAATTTTGTCAGCTTGTTGATACCAAAACTACAGATTGAACCACAAAAACTTATTAGACCTCACTTGAGCCAAACTTAATCATTACCGCTGAACTCCCCAATCTGGCTATTACCTGATTGGGGGCTCCTGGCAGTGTTTTATGACCTTTGCTATCATATCAACATATGCTGTTTTTATACCTACATTTATACATTACTAATGAAACCGACTACAGTGTAACCCAGATATAAGAGACCCGGATATAAGAGAAGCTCGGATATAAGAGAGATTTTCTCTGGTCCCAAATTAGAGCCTGTTTTAATGTATATATAATAGACCAAACCCGGATATAAGAGAAACCCGGATATAAGAGAGATTTTCTCTGGTCCCAAATTAGAGCCTGTGTTAATGTATTTAAAATAGACCAAACACGGATATAAGAGAAACCCGGATATAAGAGAGATTTTCTCTGGTCCCAAATTAGAGCCTGTGTTAATGTATTTAAAATAGACCAAACCCGGATATAAGAGAAACCCGGATATAAGAGAGATTTTCTCTGGTCCCAAATTAGAGCCTGTGTTAATGTATATGAAATAGACCAAACACGCATATAAGAGAAACCCGTATATAAGAGAGATTTTCTCTGGTCCCAAATTAGAGCCTGTGTTAATGTATTTAAAATAGACCAAACCCGGATATAAGAGAAACCCGGATATAAGAGAGATTTTCTCTGGTCCCAAATTAGAGCCTGTGTTAATGTATATGAAATAGACCAAACCCGCATATAAGAGAAACCCGGATATAAGAGAGATTTTCTCTGGTCCCAAATTAGAGCCTGTGTTAATGTATATAAAATAGACCAAACCCGGATATAAGAGACTTCTTCTCTGGTCCCGACAACTCTCTTATATCCGGGTTACACTGTATAATATTAATTAAAGGATGAAAAATTTTCACGGATTTTGACGTCATTCTGAGTTGGATGGGAGTCTAAATGTTTTGCTCATGCTAAGTCTTGAAAAAACACTATATATAAAATTCAGTTTTTTTATCTATAATGTTGAATGTGTTAAAATTATTCAACTTTCTAAGAAAATCTTGTATTGGTGGTAAAAATTACTGCATTCAAAACTAGGGTTGAATGTTGATTTATGGGATGTCTGAGTAATTTGTATTTTTATTTTCAATTTGAATTATTCACCTATATTTCATATCATCCATTATTTACATAATTAGGTTCAGTCAGTTATGTGCCATGCGTGATACACACTTAGGCGATCATATGTCTTTCAATACATGACTGATGATGCAGATTTTTTTTCCTGCAGTAGGTTGCCATTTCCATCTACAGTAGACCATTTGCTATCCAAGGCTATAGAACCCGGTCTGTCCTGCTATTTACCCATAACTGGGGAGAGAAGAAGAGGATTCATACCTTTCCCAAGAGTATTATTAGCACATAAGTGAATGTAATGGATCCGACTAGAATTCGAACTCGGGTCTCTGATTCCTCAATCCAAGTTGCTATCCATTACTCCACCATGCCTCCACATAATTAAGTTACTACAATAAAATTGATAAATTTTATATGAATACTAGCTTCTGAAAATTGAGTGGGATCTCCACAATATAGATGGGAGACATATCATAGATTGGGGGAGGGGCACGATCTCCACAATATAAATGGGAGACATATCAATGATTGGGGGAGGGGCACGATCTCCACAATATAGATGGGAGACATATCATAGGTTGGGGAGGGCACAATCTCCACAATATAGATGGGAGACATATCATAGATTGGGGAGGGGCACGATCTCCACAATATAGATGGGAGACATATCATAGGTTGGGGGAGGGGCACAATCTCCACAATATAGATGGGAGACATATCATAGATTGGGGGAGGGGCACGATCTCCACAATATAGATGGGGAGACATATCATAGGTTGGGGAGGGGCACGATCTCCACAATATAGATGGGAGACATATCATAGATTGGGGAGGGCACGATCTCCACAATATAGATGGGAGACATATCATAGATTGGGGAGGGCACGATCTCCACAATATAGATGGGAGACATATCATAGATTGGGGGAGGGGCACGATCTCCACAATATAGATGGGAGACATATCATAGATTGGGGGAGGGGCACGATCTCTACAATATAGATGGGAGACATATCATAGATTGGGGGAGGGGCACAAGAGGTTTGCACCAGCCCTTACTGACAATATCGTAAATTTTACATTATTATTTAATTTACAAATCACTTCTTCTCAGAGATTAATTTGTTTTGTAGCTATGAGTAATGAACACGAATTTTCCGTCCTTCAAACATATTTTGAACCACACCTCAATATTGTTAGAGTCGTGAACTTCACCTGACTGTCTGATAAAATAAAAAAGTTAATTCTATGCCATGGTCGTTAGCATCTCGACTCATCATTTTTTCTCTTTATTTTTGGATCAAATATCATACTGATTGTTAAATTTAAGTTATATTATTTTTTTTTTAATATAGAAATTGGTGTTTAATTGATCTCGTTTGAGAACAGGAACAAAAAAACTTAAATGTAAATTGTAAAATATCCTTTTTAGTTTGAAAAGTTATTTGACTGAATTTGATTGAAGACTAAATAAAAACCTTTCACCATAAAATGAAGTAATTGGTATGCGCACACTGCTCTCATGATATATATAAACCAGAAACGAGAGAGATTTATGTGAAGAGAATTAGATAGATAGATAGATAGATAGATAGATAGATAGATAGATAGATAGATAGATAGATAGATAGATAGATAGATAGATAGATAGATAGATAGATAGATAGATAGATAGATAGATAGACTGACAGGAAGATAGATAGATAGATAGATAGATAGATAGATAGATAGATAGATAGATAGATAGACTGACAGGAAGATAGATAGATAGATAGATAGATAGATAGATAGATAGATAGATAGATAGATAGATAGATAGATGAATAGAAAGATAGAGATAGACAGGCAGATAGATAGATGAATAGAAAGATAGATAGAGATAATCAGGAAGATAGATCAGATAGATAGTTAGATCATAGATAGATAAAGTAGCTAAAAAGGCAGAAAAATAGTAGAAAAAACAGATTACGTAGATGAACATACGAATAAGCCGAAGCGTTAAGGACTTGATTGTCAGTTATTAAGCGACGACTCTGTCATTTAATTTGAAAAGTAATCAATGAATGGAAAAAAAACTGTGTCAATATTGTTTGTAGTTAGTAACTTGACTGAGATAGGTATACTTAATTACCAACGTACAAAAAGAAAGCAAAGATAACATGTGTAAACATTAAACTAATAATAAACATGATAATTTTTTGTGACTAACTCTAAAAATCCATTTATTTCACAAGTTAACGATACGATGGCTTTTCGGGGTCGTCTAGCTTGGGTAGTGGCAGCAGTCGTGCAGAATACAGGTGTGTTATGGACAATTACGTAGAAATGAACAGGAAGCTTTTTAGACGTGTATTTGAAAAGAAAAAACACTGACGTGTGTAATGGAAAAAATATTTCCAAATAAAATCATGATGTAATTTTTCCCTTTTCAATGAAATCCATGGTTACATGATGTCAACCAACATGTGAAAAAAATTATATATGCTAGCGAACTAGCCACATGGGCTCTGCTAAATTATAATGAAATAATTATTTATTACTAATGAAAATTCGGATTTAACTTCATTATTGAGGAGAAAGAAATCAGTTTTCTGCCAACACTACACTTCACTATACTTGTTAAATGTGCAGAAAACTGATTTAAAATTGAAAATAAATGAACATAAAAAATATAGATAAAATAGACGAAACAAAATTTTATCAATCAGGAAATTAAGAAATTTAATTAAATTTAATCATATGGAAGTAATAAATCACTGTTTTGTTTTACTTTTTTTTATTTTTTTTATTTTCCACCAAACCAAAACTCGTGAAAAATTACAAGTACTTCTTAAACTTATTTCTTTATTTTCCCGTGACTGGAAAGGAAAAAATCAGTGTATTTTTATTTTAAGTTAAAATAAAAATGCATTTTAAGAACGGTAAAAATTTAGCTATTTTAAATAATTTTTAAAACCTGATATTTTTTTTTTTTCGGCTTACTAAATAAATTTATTTACCTTTCCCAGTGCGAAGGAATTATTTTGATGAAAACAGGTGCATCAAAATAATAACTTAAGGAAGGCTAAGTGCAAAACATTTTAGTTTTATAAAAATTACAAAAAAGGACAGAAATAAGAGAATTCATTTCTCTGTCTGATATTTATTTATTTGAAACTCAGTGTTTAAAGACTAAAAAAGGAAGAAAAAAATCAAATTGACAGAGAGAAAAGAAATGTTTTTCATGTGCGTGCTGTTGTAGTAAAGTAGTGTAACAATTGCATTCATTTTTACGCGTTTCGGTTTATTGCTCTGTGTGTCCGAAATATTTAATTACGAACGAACGAAGAGACTGGCGTACAACTTCATGGTCATTTCAGAAAAACATACCTGTTGTCTTAGAATTGCAATAAAAAAAAACGACTTGGGGGTGACTCATCGATAATACTATGATGATGATTTAAATTAAAGAATATCTCTTGCAATTAAAAAATTTATCGATAAAGAATAAAGATTTTTTACTTACTGCGCGTGTGTGTAACTGTGTAAAGTGTAATAAATCCTTTGCGCACTTTGACAATGCTTGCCTTTCAGCTCAGATTTACGCTTTCCTTTTCTCTTGCTTTTCTGTGCGTATCAATCTCTTAAAAAAGATATTTATTTGCGGTCTTGTGATATGTAAGTCACTTGTTTTTGGTTACCGTTGTCTTTTTGTCTCTACGCAAATTACCGATAGAGGGATCAATAAAAGAAAAAAAAAAGAGAGCCTTTTTTTTTAACTTTCACTAATTTTCACGGACTTTCTTTTTAAATACTATTTAGTTCCGAGAAAAGCGCTTATTGATGGTTGTTGAATGAATGTTATTTGCTACTGTTTTTAGTTTTTGTTTTGTGTAGTTTTGTTTTTTTCCAGTCTTCGTTTTAACTTTTTTTTTCGGCTGATTTTGCAACGGACATCAAACACCAAAGACAGTCAGTCGGGTAACAACAAGTAACAGTAACTGAGTAACACTAGAACAGTAACACTAACAGTAACACCGAAAGAAATGACAGTCAAAAATTCACATTTATGATAGCTCTCTTTCGCGTTGTACTGCTATTTTTACGTCACTTACGATTTCATTTTCACTCACTCTGTGTCTTTATATATATCTCTCTCTTTATTTTCGCTATCTCTCTTTATTTTAATCTCTTCTCAATCCTCTCTCTTTTGCTTTCTGTTTTCGTCTCTCTCTCTCTCTCTCTCTCTCTCATTTCCCCCCTCTCTCTCTTACTCTCAGCAAGTCATCTGTTTTAATAATGACAATTTAAAAATGGTGATATGATCCAATGAAATATTGAAATGTAATTGTAATATCTTTTTTACTTTCTTTCCTTAAAATACGGGGATTGTCTATTTATTTGTCAATTTAAGAACATTATCATTAACTTAATTAATTTTAATTAATTTCCTCTAGTAATATCGTTTATCACCATATTTTAAATATAACTCATGATTTCTGATCAATTTACTTTTAGCTTTATTTATTGTTATTGTGATTCGATTTTGCTTTGTGTAAATACGAGTTGCCCCCATGTCTCAATCAGAGACTTCCAGAGCTGGCAAATTATTTGGCGTCAGAAGATGCAAACAAAAAAGGTTCCATACAGTCACGGAGGAAAAAAAAATGTAATTGCGGTCACTGCATAGAAAGAAATCTTCATAAGATGTGATTAATTAATTTGTTTTTTATGGCTTTTTTACAAGTTATTTAAAGAAAATATTCTTAGATTGTAAGAATTTTTTTTTTTTTTTTACATAATAATTGTTTATTTATACAAGTTTTACTAATTAACCTATAGCTGGGGATGGAGAAGAGACAGATTCATACCTTTCCCAAGGATATTTGTGTGTAAGGGAATATAACAAACGTGACTGGAATTGAACTCGCCTCTCTGATTAACAATTCTGAGCCATTTTCCATTACACCACCCACACATCCGAGCTTAAAACACCTGGTGTTCCCAAGTGGGCACCCATCTAGGTATTGACTAGGCTCAACATTGCTTAACTTCGCTTGATTGTACAGGAACAAGTGTTTCAACATGATGTGGCCGTAAGTCTTGCATGATGTAAGATGCATCCATGAGTAGGATTTTTTTTTTTTTTAGGCGGGTCTACCAGGAATTTGATTCATGTTTTTGTTTATATTCCTTTTGATATAATTCCTGAAGCCTCAATTACAACAGGTAATTTTGTCTTGAGATTCTACATTCCATTGATTTCTATCTTGAGGTCCTTGTAATTACTTTTTATACCCTTTGAATTTCTGTGACCAATAATTTGTCCTTTGTAGAAAATAAAGGTGAAAAGAGCATTGACACGACACGGCGAGAGAAAACCGGACAACATCAAACTTGAGTGGAAAAAAAAATGGCTTTATATCAGAAAGAGGAAGAAAGAAAAGGGAAGATAGAAAAACTGGGTTTAAAAATCGTAAAAAAACAGTGAATTTTGCGAGGACTTAACTAATGGCAGTAAAGTTTGTTCAGTTAACAGTTCTTCTCATTTTTGTTGCAATGTCAGAATATATTCGTCTTCAGGATATCCTTGTTCCTACGTTGTGTTCTTGGATGCTCCATTTCTGGATACAATGTGGCTGTTGGTTGAGTTTTACGGAGCTAAATTTGTCTTTGTTGACTCATCAGTGGTACAGGAAAAAAGAGACCGTGATAGGCTACTTTCAGCCAAACTCAGGGGCTGGTGATAACAACCCCTACAAAGGGAGGCAATTGATTTATCTATCTAATAATTTCAATATTAGTTTCTAAAATGTTTTCAAAGATGTGTTTTTTATCAGCTGGGGCTGCAACATCTATCAGAAGACAGGTGTCTTTAACATGTTTTTTCACAAATATCTGATCGATTTGCCTGGGTCTCCTATTATTATTGTTATACTTCACTGCAAATTCAATCTCTTGGATTCATTCTACATGTTGGCAAGATGTGAGTGCTAAGAAAGCCAAACCCAAAATAAAAATGTTGTGATCTGTGCAGGAGCTCTGAACATCACATCTGGCCTACAAAACAAATCCCTGCAAAAATCTAAAAGACAATATAAAAGAAGCCAATCACAAACATTGTCACCAAAGAAAAAGATGAGCTCAGGAGTCATTAGACTTGCATGGGTCGTTCCTTTTCTCTTTTTTCCTTTTGCTCTATCTTTGTCTTAAAAGGATCAATGATTAACTCTTTTTTTCCTATTTTATCTTCCACTGATTTGTTGTGATCCAGTTTCTTATCTATTATTATTTTATTTTAATTCTGATTGTTCCTTTGTAAGTTAGCTAGCACATACATTACACCCTGCCAATTTGATCACAAGGAAAAGACATATCAGAGACGCTATTTGGTTTCAGTGAAAGATAGAATAATGCTCTCATGTTTTAACATCTGCTTCAATGAAATGGAAAACAATGTCAGTTTTTAATTTTATCATGTGTACTGTCTCATTTCTTTAAATAATGACTTGCATTTATATATAGCAATTGGCAAATTTTATTCAGTTGTAACCTTCTGATAAGTGCTGGCTGTAAACAAGTGAGGCAGAGTGAGATAGGGTGAGGGGCTAATAGTCTAATCGGTGTGCACCTTCCTTGTCATGGCAAAAGGTCCTCAATCTTTTAGGCTGCTAGGAACCACCATCTTATAAATAATCAGCATTCTTTTCCTGTCAACTTTCATCCCCCAAAATCATTCATGAAGTCCACACCATTCAGTTGACATTCTTTGTCAGGGTTGTTTGACATGGTTCTTGCAGGGTGGGGGTTCACTCAGCTGACCTTTTTTTATCAAGACAATAACTGTCAAAATAATTTCTGTAAACTCTTTCGGATATTTCCTTTAACAAGATATTGATGAAAACTGATATTGCTACACTTATTTATGATTGAGGCGAAATGATTAAAAAAAATTAACTTAAGAATTATAATTCATCAGATAATTCAAATATTTTAAGATTATTTACTGTTATTATTCTTGTAATTATTATTTAATGTAATTGTAATTTCTTGTGCTAAATTCTTGTTTCAGTGTCTTTAATGAAGCCACATCATTCTCTGATGATAAAGATTGCATTTCTTGTTTCAGTGTCTTTAATGAAGCCACACCATTCTCTGATCATAAAGATTGCATTTCTTGTTCCAGTGTCTTTAATGAAGCCATTTAACAAGATATTGAATAAAAACTGATATAATCTGATATAAACTGATCATAATATAAACTGATATAATCTGATAAAAACTAATCATAAAGATTGCAGATGTGGCTCAATTGGCTTTCTGAATGGCACACCTAATTAAGGAAAATAACGTTTATTAAAATGGTGTCTGTTTCCTTTTGTTCTCACTTGTTCACTCACACACTCTCATACATAACAACATATATAAACAATGGTTAAGTACAACGTTTCTTGAATTTTGTAATCACTGGCGATTTTCACTAAGAAAGATCATATGTGTAAACATCTTTTGCTTCAGAAAGAGGAAACATCAATGTTAATTATTTTTCTCTAGAGAATAAATATACTTCTTTTACAAATATTTTTGTATATACAAATGAATAAATTAGAAACAAATCACATGCAGCAGCAGCAGCATGTGTTAATAACTGTTATCAGTGATAGTAATATACCAAGATTTTTTTAATTATAGAAGGAATCTTTTCTCCAAAGAATAAAAAATCATCTTTTCCTCATTTCTAAGGCAGATGCTGATGCGCATGGTTGGGAAAATAACTGCAGTATCTTTAATGAAAAATTACCTTGATATTTTTTTTTTAGTAGTGTGGCACACCTTATAATATACTATATCTCATGCATCCAACTGTTCAAAAAAAGTTGCTCATGCCTGAGATAGACAGACAGGCAGACAGACAGAAAGAGTGTGGAGGGAAACATATGCAAATAAAGACTTGTATGTTGGTGAGTACAAAAGACCATTTAACTAAAGACTGCAAAAAAAAAAAAGAAGACATCTTTGTCTGAATTTCTGGGATGAGGAGTTATTATTATTTACACTATTTATATTTGTGAGTTCAATCCCTGTAATAGGCAGTTGGTACTTACACTCAATGGAAATGAGGAAAAATAATGTTTATTAAAATGTGTTTTCCTTTCATTCTCACTTGTTCACTCACACACTCTCATGCATAATCACATACATAAACAATGATTAAGTCCAATGTTTCTTGAATTTTATAAGATTTTATTGAAGTTAACATTGACAGTATTTTAGACCATTGGCGATTTTTACTAAGGAAGATCATAAGTGTTAATATACCAACTATGCGCAAATAGTTAACCCCCAAACTGGTGTCAAAACACTATGAAAGTATGAAAATACATTTTTATAGTAAAAGAATTACAAGCAATGCATTTAAAAAAATAAAAAATATTATCAGCAATGCATTTTTGAAAAAATAAATAAAAAATTACCAGCAGTACATTTTGGAAAATGGCTGCAATATGAAATGAGCAATATGGAAATGAGAAATTACTTTGATTTTTTTTAGTAGTGTGGCTTGCCTTATGATGTACTGTAATCTCATGCAGCCCACTGTTCAAAACAGGTTGCTCATGCCTGAGATAGACAGACACGCAGAAAGAGTGTGGAGAGAAACATATGCAAATAAAGACTTGTATGGTGGTGAGTACAAAAGACCATTTAACCAAAAACTGAAAAAAAAAGAAGACATTTTTTTCTGAATTTCTGGGATGAGGAGTTATTATTATTTACACTGTTTATATATGTGAGTTCAATCCCTATAGCAGGCACTGTGTATTTGCACTCAATGGAAATGTGTGAACAATAACTGAACAGTACTAAATAAAATAAAAACTAGGCAATATCCCTAGACATGAGCAGTGGAAGTAGAACAATCTACCCCTGTACATTAAATAAAGTGTTCAATTCAGAATACCCTGTAAGCTACCTAGATTGAAAAACACCTGAAGAAGGCTGGAAGCCACAATGGCTGAAATATTGTGATAACAACAATAAAAATGAGGACAATAGTCCAAATATAAATAGTGTTAATAAGAAATAAATTGTTTAACAACATTGTAGTGACTTCAATGATTTAGATATAGTTAGTATATTATATGACAGATACAGTGGAGAACCCTTCCACAATGAAAAACAGAAGTCCACAATACACAAAAACAGGTAAGAACCTGAAATGCTAAAGTCTGAGTTTAGATTGGATTGGCCAAGATGAACAGGAACTAATCACCAGGGGCAGATGATATTGTGATAGAGGTGCTGTCAGTTTTAGTCAAGTTTGGGATAGACAAAATTATATAAATAATAAATTAAATATACGACAATGGTAACATACTAGAAGATGGTAGTATCTCTTCATCCTCTTAGCACTGCCTAAGAAGCCAGGTGCAAATGTATGCAGGCTTACAGAGCCATAACTAAGTCTGTCATCATCATTCAGGCAAATAGAGTGGTAGCAGAATTAGACCAGAAATAGGACAAGAATGTTGGGGCTTCATTAAAGATACTGGAACAAGAATTGCAATCTTTATGATCAGAAAATGGCATGACTTCATTAAAGACACTGGAACAAGAAAGGCAATCTTTATGATCTGGAAATGGTGTGGCTTCATTAATGATGCTGAAGCAAGAAATGCAATCTTTATGATCAGAGAATGGCATTGCTGCATTAAAGACACTGGAACAAGAAATGCATAGATAGATGTTGCAGCCCCAACTGATAAAAAACACATCTTTGAAAACATTTTAGAAACTAATTACAAGGACCTTGAGATAGAAATCAATGAAATGTAGAATCTCAAGACAAAATTACGTGTTGTAATTGAGGCTTCAGGAATTATATCAAAAGAAATAAACAAAAACATAAATCAAATTCCTGGTAGACCCACCTAAAAAAAAAATTTCAAGTTAAGTCATTTTCGAAGATACATCAGTTTTTCTTAAATATTATATGAAAAATAAAACTCATATTAGGTCGTTTTACTCGAGTTTACATCAGCCATTAAAAATATTAGAAACGTCAAAACACTAAAATTGCTGGAAGATAAGATGGATATTAA